GGGGAATTCTGGGAGTTGAAGTCCACTCATCTTAAAGTGGCCAAGTTTGGACAACACTGCTCTAAGGCATTAAGGGGGATCCTGCCTTAGTTTCACTTCCACGCCCATCACAACTCTCTCAAAGTCAGTGTTACAACTGCTGGGTTGGCACAGACCACTTCTGGATAGGTCTTCTGATTTACACCCTGCATCTTCTAAATCAGTGTGCATTCTTACAGATATGCACTGGTGTTCCCCTGCCGTCCTCGGAGCAAATGAGAACCTCTTACGCACGTGAGCTTCCTTCCAATTCCATCTGCTCTGCTATTTTTTGCAGATAAATCTGAGGATTTGCTTTAAAGCCCTGGGTTTTAGATAGGGCTGTGCAAGTATTGTATTTGGAGGTTTGATTCAAAGGTGATTCAGCTGCACTGCTGTTCTCCGTTGACTTTCCAAATCAGTTTAAAGTGTCGGATTGAATTGGATGCATCTGGATTGATCGGGATGATTTGCACACTTCTGCCTGTGGGCCAAAACAGCTTTTTTTTAAGATCAATTCAGAATCCAAATGAAATCAACCTGATGATTTAATTTGAATGTCTAAGATGAAAAGTCAATCAAACTGGATCAATTTTCTGAATCAAATCGATGATCTGAGTTGTGACTGGCTTGATTAATGCTGCAGAATGTAGTGGTGGAAACGATTGCAAGGCTTTGCTGTCAGAGGCAGCTGTGACCTCAGTAGCTGGCTGCAGTAGCATCTGGAGGCTTAGGGGCAACAGCAGTAGGAAAAGGCTGGGGGAGAAAGAGAGGAAGCACCAGCTGCTGTTCCCACCCATCAGAAGCGGTCCCATGCTGAGTCTTCCCATTGCAGCTGCTGGAGGAAGCCCCAGGAGGAGAAGCAGGAAGAAGGTGCCAGCCATCATGGAAGCAGCCACAACAGCAGTGGGGCTAGGCAGGTGCCCTGGGCTATGCCAGGTCCTGCCCCTTACTCCATGTCAGGATGGGGACCATCAGAAGCCCTTGAGCAGTTGAGTGTTGGCTGTGAGTCAGGTTGGGCTGCTCCATTTCTATCTGGATAGAGATCTTAGAAAAAATGTGACAACTGATTTGCACCACCTAGATTGAACTGACTAGATATCACCCCATCTTTTTGGTTGCCCCTATTCCTGATCTGAAAGACAAAACAAAAACTCCCTAAGAGGAATTCTCCTGTGACATCTGTCCCTGGGTTTAAACTGAGGCATGGAAAGCCAAGGTGGCCCCATCGTATTTTGCAAGTCATTGTCTCTGAAGGACGTTGCCTCTTCCCATGAGAAAGACCTTTTGACGGTGGTCTTGCACAACCAAGGAAGCAAGACTCATTAAAATCAGGTTTAATGCCAGGAAAAAGGGGTTAGATTACAGAACCCTGGAAACTAGGTAAGTACATTCCAGCCCTCCTTAATTAGTGATATGTTAAGGCAGGGGGGTTGTGAGCTGTTTGATCTCACTTCATATGGACTCCCGACTGGATGGACTGATGCCTCACTAGAGGTAAGGTTGAGATATCCGACTGTTCCTCATCTGCCTTGGTTTGAAACCTCCCTTTTCTCTCCTAGACTCCAAAAATTTCTCCAGCATTACTGAATCTTTCTTCTTCTTTAGGGGGGAAAGACATCAAAAGCCATTTCTTCTCCCTCAAATTGAATGGGGATAGGGTAAAAATACTGCAGTAGAAAAGACTTGGAACAGCAGTTGATTTAGTGGTAATTAGAAGGCCTCTTGCTGTGGTGTTGGAGCTTCGGTGGTTATTATGACATACTTGTTGTCAGCCTTTGCTTAATTGCCAACATCATCAGATACTAAACATGCCTGTACAAACTGGGCCTTAATATCTACACATCTGGATTTGCAGGAAAGCCATCACTGCCAAAAGCTGTAGATTGCAGGAGGGAAAATAATAGAAATATGGTAAAGTATCAGTAATTACAGCCTAGACTTTAGAAATGAATCACAATGAGAAATAGGGTTATCACTTACGGGAAGAAAGAGAGTTGCTGCTCCTGGGCTACCCAGAATTTGATTTTGTCTCCTGGAGATATTTTTAATTCAGATGATGTGGCCACCAAATCTGGTATTTTCTACATAGTATGATCTTCCATTGAGCTGTGACCATTCCTGTTAAGGAATACCGTATGAAAACTGGCCACCAAGTCTGGTCGGTGTGATCCTGATTTTTCATTTAGCCAGGTTTCCTGCATGTATAGTCCAATATATCTGGTGGACACCAGGATTGGCCATCTGGGTTCAACGAATGCATCTGTGTTGGACTAGTTGAATAATTGGTTTTCATCCACCAACGTTCTTCTGATCTGCTTCTCCCACCCACTAAACTTCATGCCCAATTTGTTTATTCATTTATATTCCTGTTTTATTCAATAGCTAATGCTCTTTAGTAGTTGGAGGGCATCTTTTAAATATAAATTATGCTAATAATTCCCTTCAGTGTCAGTAAATTAAAAAAAACAAAAAAACAAGGAGTGGCTCTGTTTGTATCACTGTGATGCCACTGCATGTTCAGTCTGCTGAAAAATACAGGTGAAATCATTCAACTTTTTTCCAATAGCTATTTCTTCATCCATCATTGCAAAATGCACAGAAATGAGCAGGGGGGAAGTGCTTTAAAGCAGCCCCACCTGTTTTTTTTTTTTTTTTAACATTCCTTCTTCTTCTACATCTTGCACAACAGAATGACTTTAGGATTTGGTTTCTGCTTGCCTAGCTCTTTCTTGGGAGGAGGTTGGCGGCAGGCACTTTTGACCCTGGAAAGCTGGATAACTCTAATCACGGGTTAAGATTGACTGACAGGAGAATCAGTCAATCCCAGCAACAAAGAAATACTGAAATGTGTGGCACCTCAAAACAACGACAACAGCAACAACGCCTAGGGTGGCATAAATTGAGGGAAATCTGTCTATGAAAGCTGAAGCCAGAAGAAATCCACTTCATTATGATGTCACCAGATGTTGGTGTCTTTTATTTAAATAAGATCTTATTTTTAAATAAGAAACCGAAAGCTTGATGTAACTTTTCATTGGGATGAATGAAGAAGTATGTAAGACTTAGTATTTCCAACAAATATCTCTGTTGTTGTTTATATTTTTTCTTTTCAAGAAGCTGCTATCTTTAATTTAATCTCAGGCAGCCCAACTGCCTTCTCCTTCTCCTTCTCCTTCTCCTTCTCCTTCTCCTTCTCCTTCTCCTTCTCCTTCTCCTTCTCCTTCTCCTCCTCCTCCTCCTGTCCCTCCCATCCTTCTCC